TTCATTCCATTCTAGTAGCCCCAATAGTATTAACTCCTTCCGGCATCAACTCAAAAGTCTAAAGTCCAAAGTCTCATTTAATATACCATCTAAATCAGATATAGGCGTGATTCAAGGCATGATTTATTCTCTAGCAAATTCCCCTACAGCTGTGAGCCTGTGAAATCAAACAAGCTATGTGCTTCCAAATACAGTGGTGGAACAGGCATAGGACAGACATTCCCATTCCAAAAGGTAGAAATAGGAAAGAAGAAAGAAGTTAAGGAGTCCTGAGCAAGCCCAAAACCTTAAGGCTCAAAAATAATCATTTTTGGCTCATTGCTATGCCATGCAGGCCCACTAGGGTGGGGGTCTAGCCTTCCAGACACACTGCGGTGCTTTCTGGACACATGGGGGTGGTGGCTCCTCCCTGCTGGCAGCTCTGTGCCTCCTGCAGCTGATTCAGGCCAGAATCTTGAGCTGGTGGCTCTGCTGGTCTTGGGTCACAGGGGCAGCCCCACCGCCATTGCTCTGCTGGGCATGGCCCTAGTGGGGGCTCTCTGTGTGGGCCCTGCCCCTGTAGCAATTCTCCGCCCGGGCCTGTGGCTCTTAGGGGCATCATTAGAAATCTAGGTGGAGGCTGCCACAGCTTTGCTGGTTGCAGTACATACTGCACTGCTCTGGGGGCCCACAGGAGCCGCACCCGGGGCCGCTGGGGAGGGTGGTAGCGGAGTGCGGGGAGCAGAGCCACATTGTGAGGTGGCACTGGGCAGTGGTGGCCATGTTGCCTTTGAAATCGCTCTGTCCCCCAAGCCCTTGTACTCTGGTCGATGATAAGCGAGGCAGCCTGGTGATTTCTGAATTGCCTTTGGGGTCATTCTTCCCCCGTCTTGGACAACAGGTCCTGACTTGTGCTTAGATGGCTGACTGGTCTCCTTGGCTGGTGGCCGTTTGGCCACATCCTTGGTGTTCTCCCCTAGAACAAGCTTTCTCGTTCTTGGCACTATGGGTAAGCTGAGAATTTTCTAAATCTTTAAGTCCCACTTCCCTTTTGATGAACAACTTTGTTTTTAAAGCACTTCTCTCTTCTGCCATGTTACTGTAAACAGCCAAGCAGAGCCAAGCTGCACCTTCAACACTCTGCTTAGAAATGGCTTTAGCTAAATATCCGATTTCTTCACCCAAAAGTTCTGCCTGCCGCAAAACACTAGGATACAAACACAATGCAGCCAAGTTTCTTGCTGTTCTATAACAAGAATTGCCTTTTCCTTCAGTTTCCAATGATGAGTTCCTCATTTGTGCCTAATAAATCAGCAGTTCCCAACCTTTTTTGCACCAGGTACCGATTTCATGGAAGACAATTTTTCCACAGACCGGGGTGGGCAGTGCAGGCGGTGCTGTTGGGGGAGAGGGGCGTGGTGTGGAGCTCAGGTGGTGATGTGTGGCCTGTTTCCTAATAGGCCACAGACCTGCAGCCCGGGAGGTGAGGACGGCAGTAATAAATCATAAGAAAGGCCTTTAGCAGGCATGTTTCCACCAACATTCTATTCATGGCCACTTAGATATTCTTTAAGGATATTTAAGCCTTCTCTACAGCTCTCCTCTCCTTTTGAGCCCTAGCCAAAATCACCCTTAAAGGTCCATTCATAGCAATCAATGTAGGTTTTTTGTAGCATGAGTCTCAAAGCTCTTCCAGACTCTATCCATCACTCAGTTCACGTTTTTAGGTATTTGTTACATTACAACAGCACTCTCACTTCTTGGTACCAATTTTCTGTCTCAGTCCATTTGGGCTGCTATAACAAAATACCATAAACTGGGTGGCTTATGAGGCAACAGAAAATTTCCCTCCACAGTTCTGGAGGCTTGGGAATTCCAAGATCAATGTGCTGGAAGAGACAGTGTCTGGTGAAGGCCCATAGGATGGCATCTCTCACTGTGTCCTCATGTGGTGGAAGGAACTAGCTAACTCTCTCAGGTCTCCTTTATATAAGGGCATTACTCACAGTCCTGAGAGCTCTGCTCTGGTGACCTAATCACTTCCCAAAGGCCCCACCTCCTAGTACCATCACCTTGGGGGTTAGGATTTCAACATGTGAATTTTAGGAAGAAACTAACATGCAGACCATAGCAGTCTGTAATCATTTTCTCATTTGCTAGTGGTCATTAGGTCAAAGCGAATTTGCTGTAGAGAGCTGGAACAGGGTTGAGAAGGCACAGAGAAGAACTCAGTACATAGCTAAGAAAATCTAAGAGTGAATGGAGGAAGGTAAGGAGAAATAAAGGTCAGTGTAGCATGAAAGAGAAGAATACTTGCTCTCAGAGGATGCTGGGCTTCCTGGCAGAAGTCCTGACCCTAGAAGTCTTCAGGAGCAGCTGCCGAAATGGAGGGGCCTTGAGTATGTTTCACTAGTAGAGAGGGCCAAAGCTATCGCAATATTGTAAGGTTACGTTACTTTTCCTGTGATTTAAAAAAAAAAAAAAAATCCATTTTAATTGTCCAAAATAACTGAAATCTCACCATGCGAAGATTACCACTGTTGTCATTTTGGCGTATATCGTTCCAGCCTTTCGTTGTCGTAGGCACACTGAACAGAAGTAGGTTTCGTGGCTACATGATCTTGAGGTGCACTCACGCACGTAACGGATAGCCTGCTGTTTGGGTTCTTCCTGTTTCCTTTCTCCTCGATTAAATAACAGACCCGAATAATCCGGCAAGTAGGTGTTTCTGCACTGGGGATTTAGTGATCTGCTGGCTTGTAGATCCACTACTGTAGACTTTATAGGTCTCTCGGAGCATGCGGGCTTGAGTAAGGATGTGACTGAAAAGCATCCTCAGTTTATGCCCAAAAAGGGTTCAGCACTGGGTCACTGCAGGGCAGCTGGAAGTGCAGTAGGTGTGATCAGTGCGAGTCTGCAGATACCCCAATGCGCCTCATCTTCCTTCTTGGGGATCCCTTCCCAAGCAGTGCTTCCCCTGTCCAAGCCGACCAGATGAATTCTTCAAAGCAGTCACTGTTACTTCCTATAGCAGGTTGGTATGGCTGCACACATATCTTCTCGAAGTAAACTGAGGGAAAGTAAAGGAAAAAGGAAATTCTTGTTAGTTTTATCCGTTTACATTTAAAAAATTAAGCCAGCGAGCTTTGCTGGATATAGTTAACTATGTGGGTAGCAAAAGGGGAAAAGCCATTTGTGAAGATTATCGTAGTGCCACTGAGCCAGCCGGAATTTCTCAGCCTGGCTTCTTGCTATGGGAGGACAGTTTGAGAGAGTGATAGAATGTATGTTAAAAAGTGGAACGAAAATAAATGCCCTGGTGTGTAGCTGTCCCTTCCCCTCTGCAGGCAGTGCCTGCCACTCTCCTGACTGCAGCAGGACCCACTGCACCTTCACAGGTAAATGAGGGAGAAGCAAGGAGGTGCCTCACCATTACCTTCCTCTAGGAACGGGCCTTTCTTATTTGTTTAGCATCATGAGCCTTAGTTGCCAAATGCTAGGTCAAGTCCATGCGGTGGACCAGCTAATGTTTGAGGATTTAGCATCTTTATCATTTAGCACTAGTTTCTCCTCTGCATTTTCAAGGCCGCCTTCAGTCTAATGAATCGTGGCATTGCAAGTTCCAGAAAACTTATACCCTCCCTTGTTTTTTCTGTTTGTCTAGTCTTGGCGGAAATTAGATTCACTTCACATTTTATAGCATGTTTGTGAATTCTAGAATCCATGTGTTTTAAATTATGCATCTCTAAACAACAGGCGAGACCATAGATCCAGGCTACTATGGTAGAACTTTTAGAATTTTTTTCTGTATTGTTCACATGTATTGAGCATTCTCTCAGTAGCTTCTATGTGTGTCCATGAATAATTAAAACATTCTGGAAAAAAATTCCTCTCACCTTTGGCATTTGGCTCTGAGCTGTTGCCTGATGGTGCCCTGTAGCTGGTGGTCTGGGATGCCACCAGGGAAGAATGTGAAGAAGGCACAAGTAGGCACGTAATGATCACATATTAACTACCAATCACCCAGCGTCTTTTGTACGCCAGACACTGAACTTAGTATTGCATATACTTTATCATATTTAATCTTCACAACTATTTTTTTCCACTTTATTGTGAGGAAACCTAGACTCTGAGAGGTTAAATAATTTAAGATCACACAGCTTATGTGGTTTGTGCTAGAATTCGATCTTGATTCTCTCAAGTCTTTTTTTTTTTAAAGAAAAAATTCATTGACAACGACATCAAAAAATACAATACTTAGGAATAAATTTAACCAAAGAGGGGTACAAGGTTTGTACACTGAACACTATAAACACTGATAAAAGAAATTAAAGACAACCTGATAAATGGAAAAATATTCTGAGTTTATGGAGTGAAAAACTCAATATTGTTTTGATGGCAACACTTCTCAGTGTTTGCATTTTCTAAAGTCTATGTTCTGAACCGTTACGCTATTCCGCCTGCTAAGAAAGAGACTTGTCTCATGTGTGGTCACTGTTGTGTTTTCTATGCCATGTTTCAAAAACAAGGTAGAACAACACGCCTGTACTTCATTTTAACCTTGCTGTCTGGCTCTACCCCTCGTTCTCCCTTTCTCTTGCCGGTCCCGTGCCCCTTTTGACTGGGCTCTGCTTTTACCGGCCCCAGTCACGAGTCGGTGATGGATGAAGACAGGCAGGGTGGCAGCTGTAGCCCAAAGAGATCTCAGGGTCCCAAGGAGGAGAATACACCCCGTGCTGCCGTCCCACCTGGGCTTTTCCTGGGGTGGAGGATACAGAACCTGTCTTTGGTTCTTGGCACTGGGCTCACTTGTTGATCCCACCCTATTCTTACTTTGGGACCGTTTTCAAGCTCTGATATGACTATTTCACCCAAGAACATTGTTCCCAAGGCAAACCAAACCAGCCCTCTGTTAGTATATACAGTGGTAATATTTGTGGGGAGTTTATTAAAAACATTGTCTAGGGGACTATTTTGGAAATCCAGGCATAATCTAATAACTTCTTTTGTTTCTACTTCAGATGCAGCAGCAAGAGCTTGGCTCCCTGAAGGCCAGCCTGCGGGTCCTCGTCGTGGGACTGGGCCGCCTCCTCCTCTGGTGGTGGCTGGCGGAGCTGATGGCTCACCTCATGTACATGCATGCCATCTACAGCAGCATTCCCCTCCTCGGGGCTGTCTCTTCTTGGACCTTAGGTAACTGTGGAAATCACTAACAGTGGGACAAGCACCAAGAGTTAGAGTGAAGCTGGACTGGGCATGGGCAGGGGTGCAGTTGCCTGGAGCAAATTCCTTTTGATTTTAACCTATCTCCCCTTGTAGCTGAGATTATGCATGTGGGAGGTGGTGGACATGGTCGATGGAACGTGGGGGCTGTGCTTGTGGTCTGGGAACCGAGGAGGGCAGCACCCCTGCCTGTAACAAAATCCTACTGAGCTCAGCTGGATCTGCATCTTTGCGCGTGGCCAGCATTGGGTAGTGCGGGAGCTGCTGGGGGCAGCCGTTGAATCTGTTCCGAGAGATAATGATCCAAGGTTGAGTTGTTCCGCGGTCTTCCTTGTTCTCTGTGTACGTACTGTAAAGGAAGGACATGAGCATTAGAGTCAGCTGTAGGTTTGGGTTCCAGCTTCACCTACAACTCGCGGGTGATGGCCGTTGACTAAAACTCTCTGAGCTGAGCTTTAGCATCCTTATCTGTAAAATGAGGAGACTTAACGTTTGCAGAATTGTTGTGAGGATTAAATGAAATGATGCAGTTCACGGATGTACCTTATAAAGTGGTACATAGTGTGTACCTTATAAAGTGGGGTGCGTGTGTGTCTATATTTCCCTCTGTCGGCCCCCTTTTCTTACCCACCCTTTTCTTTCTGTCTCCCAGTGAGGTGGGATGGAAGCCTTACTTCCTCAGTGGGACTGGTCTCCAGTATAGGATTTGCCTGTGGAGAAACCGTTGTTCTATATTCCTCTGGCCAGACAACAGAGATCATTCCCCTTTCTGAACTAAATCTCCTCACTTGCTTATTCTCTCTCCTTTGGAGAACTCCTGCAGTGGCTGACTTCTGCCTGTGGTTTGACCCCAGCCTGGAGCTCTAATGGGAACTGTGCAATCTCCTGGGCAGATCAAGCTGCTCCCTGCTGAGGGCAAGAGTACAAGCCTGGCTCCTTATCTGTTTGGTGATTTATAGATTTTTTTTTTTAATCTTGATTGTCCTTGGTATTACATGTGCTTAATCAGAATGTTTCCAAGGAAGAAGCCTTTTAGGATTAAAAAAAAAATGCTGAGCTATTTTACTGATGGTCTCTCCTTTCCAAACAAATATTTTTATAGTTGGGGGTATAACTAACACTATAAGGTTTTAATGACACTATTAGACAAACAGAATAGGATTAAACGATAGTTTATACGAAGTCAGATCCCAGTTGTACAGCATCCAAATTAAGGGACTGT